CTACCTTGTTAAGGGGACTAATAGCCGGCTCCCATCCCAACTCCAACCACTTCCTTAAAACAATTAGGCAAAACAACAATTCCTTTCAAATGTCCTCATTTGGAGCTCACGTGGTTTGTGAAGAGGGTTGGATGCCCACTTTCAAAGTACAGAGGCAGGTATACCACCGCATTGGGTCTCTGCTGCCTGAGGAGACCTCTAGACCTAAATTCCTTCAATTGTACTTTATTACAGACTACAACCTACAGGCTGAAACCCGGATTGGTATTTTGCCGCCGTTGGGAAGAGTTCCTTGCAGGGACATCATATTACTACTTCAGGCCATGCTTCACGAGGTTAACAGTTACATTCAAAGTTTCAAATATGCTTTGGAAAATGCTCCCTTTCCTTCCTTCAGTATTGTAATTGAGGCCAACAAATGATGAACAGGAATGCCCCTACAATGCTCCTGCGTGCAACGAAGTGGCCGCTATTATACATGGGGAACAAGACCACACTCAAATCAAGATGCAGTGCTCTTCACAGGATTTCAGAGACCCATTGATCATATGACACATTGCAGTACCCTTTACTTTTCCATTATGGTGACGATGGCTAACACTTCGGCATTCCCTTTCATACTCTGGGTGGCCAACCTACGTCTTCCAAAGCCTTATCATGCAAGGTCTTCAACTCATACCATTTCATGGTTAGGGATAGAGACTTCAACCTGCTTCATAGATGCAGGGAGCTTTTCCACCAGTTTGTGGTTGACATTTCCGCTAAGATGGAATCAGAGAGGCTTTGTTTTATACAGAATCATCAGAAACAGCTGCGCTCAGACTCCTACGTACACTTATGCAACAGCCTTCAAAATGAAGTCAATCCCCACAACCTAGGGAAGATGTGCATTCTGCTCTCTACCTACACTGGAGGGCTGTGTTACAAGCATGAATGCATGCAGGACGCTATGACATACGTTAGGCAATATGGGAGGCCAGACTTATTTATAATGTTTACCTGCAACTCTAAATGGGTTGAGATAACGCGTGAACTCCTACCCGGACAGGATTACACTCACAGACATGACATTACCGCGTGCGTATTCTGCTTAAAACTGGGAAAACTTGTGGACTTAATAATGAAGGGGCGAGTTCTATCAGTGACCTCAACAACTGCGGATATGTGCGTAAGTTCAATAATTCAAACCCCAAAGCAATTTAACTACATAAAACCCCAAGTAATGCCGGGCTTTACTGCTAGTTTCTAATAAAAGTTGAAATGAAAAGATGAAAGATGTTTTTAACAACACAAATTCAATCATTTTAGTGGTTAGATTAAGATAAATTCTAAAAGTAGAAACATTATTTTGTATATATTTATATTCATATTTATATGGATAATTCTGTATATATTTTATATAGGTAAATTCTATATGAACAGCTTGCAAAGTTCTGAATTTACTGAGTATATACCAGGTTAAGTTTCAGTAGTAACAACAGAAGAAATTATTGTGGCATAGCTTTACTTTTGCCAGCGGACTAAAATCTAGTGGGGATTTTGCTGTCTCAACTGAATGCTTACATTGTGGATATGATACATCCATAATTACAGTGTGCCTTTCAGTCTTATAGGTGAAAATGGATATGATTTTCCCAGCACAATAAATCAAAGATAAGTCATGTGTACAACAAGGCCTTTTTCAGGTCTTTGGAGATCTTACCAAGGCTTTTTGTACTGTAAACAGAGAACTTACATTGAAGATTTGAAATGCTTAGGTTGTCCTCAGCATTTCACAGATCATCCAGTCATTTGATCATGACATAGAAATATCTTTTTATACTATTTACATTGTTCGGACTGTTGTCCTCATATTCACAATGTTTCGACTGTTGTATGCTCTGGCCTTCTTCAGGTTATATACGTTGGAATTTCAAGCTGAACCCTTTATTTTTGTCTACTGTGGTTCCCAAGGACACATGGCCTAATGGATAAAAACATTAGTTAAAGTAATCCAGTAACTTGACCCAAAGAGTTGTGAGTTCAATTCCTGCCTACAGCAGAAGTGAACAAAAAAAACTTGGAGAGTTAAATTACTAAAGGGAAATAATTGAAATTGAGATATTCAGAAAAGGCATGGCATGTGAAACTAGAACAATCTACCCCAGTGGGCAAAATAAATTATAATTTTGAACGAATTAATTATAAATGGAAGGCCTTTGGTATGACAGCATTGTAATCAAGAAGTGTGCATGAAAAAAAAAATGCAAGAGCAAGTAGAGGTTTGGGTTCAGCAAGCCAAAGCAAATCCTGCTGTGACATCTGTGATTCTCCAAGTCTCCCTGTCTAATGTCAGAATCAATGTGCATACAGTGTGACAAAATCTGAATGATGCCGGTCTTCATGGCTGAATGCCTAGACAAAAGCCACCGCTTATGAAAAAGCACAAACAATTTCAGCTCAACTATGACAAAGCTCACATTAATAAGCTAGAAATGTTCTAGCAAAAGGTTTTATGGTCAGATGAAGCCAAATTAGAACTTTTGGGGAGGAATGATAGGCAGCATGTGTGGCAAGCTCCCAAGAGGGCTTTTGAAGAGAATTGGGTGCCAAGTGTTAAACGTGGCAGCAACAGCATTATGATTTGGGGGTGCTTTGCTGCAGCTGGAAAAGGCAAAATAGTATACATTGACAGCACAATGGACTTTGCAAGATACCAAGCAATTTTCAATGAAAGCGTCTTGCCCTTGGTTTGAAAGTTGGGTTTAGGTCAGGACAATGATCCAAAACCATCAATGCAAATCCACAAAGGAATGTATTTGAAAAAAAAATCTCCAGTCTTAGAATGGCCTAGTCAAAGACCTGAGCTAAACCCAATCAAAAATCTGTGCATAAAAGCATTGGTTGAAATAATCCAAAAAGTGACTTTACTTAAAGAGTTGTGAGTTCAATACCTGGCCACATTAGAGAGAACAAAATCTTGGAGAGCTAAGTTAGTAAAAAAGGGAATTAAACAAAACTGAAATATTCAAAAAAAAAAAAAAAAAAAGCATGGCAGATGGAATCAGAACAATCTACTCTTGTGAACTAAATAAAGGGTTCAGTTTGAAGGTCCAGCATATATCACCTGATGAAGGCCAGAGAATACAACAGCCGAAATGTTGTGAATATGGTAATAACGATGAGGACAACAGTTTGAATGATGTAAATAATATAAATAGTTACAATACCTCATCTCAGCAATATAAACAGATGAGTTCTTTTAGTATTTCTTAAATTTTTCCATTTGGAGGGAGTAAGGGAGTGTAAAAATTGTCTGTAATGTCTATATATATATATATATATATATATATATATATATATAATTATTTTTTTTAAAATATGATTCCTTCACTACATAAGAGTTCTCATGTTTCAAAAAACGAGAGCGAAACCCTCAATATAATTATTAAAATTAAATTGAATTAAAGTAATAAGCCCTGTTTCATCCTCAAGTGAAAATTTAGGAATAACCAATTTTGAAATTTACGCATTGTTATAAGCATGTTCATTCGTTACTATGGAAATGGCTGGGGATATACATTGGGTCAACAAAGAATGAATTTAAAATTAGATGGAGGCAGCACAAAAGCTCCTTCAATAATATTAGAAGTAGAAATCAGACATCTCTATCCAAATATTTTTGGCATTTAAAAGAAATGAATAAAACACCCAAAGTAAAATGGAAAATAATAAATAGAACAAGAACTTGTAAAACCTGGGATGACCCATGCCCTTTATGCCTACATGAAAAACTACACATAATTAAGTTTCTAAATAATGAAAATTCATTAAACCATAGACATGAGTTAACGTTTTTTTGCCGAAATAAAAAAAAAATTGTAGTTCAGTGCAACGTGTTTATATATGAAACAGCCCATTGAAAATAAATAAATAAATAAATAAAATAAAATAAAACAAAATTATCCAGACACTTAACAACATACTATGGTGCCAAAATCTATCTTTCTCTATGACTGACCAGACGATGCGCGTACAAGAAAGCCATAATTCACTTTAAAATAGACACCCCACCCTACCTCAGCCTGACCTCTTCCTGAAGGTGACTGATATGTAGATAAAAATTAACTCTTAGGCCCCTTATCAAAAGTGGTCACCCCAGCTGTTTCCATAGTAATGAATGAACATACTTATAATGATGCGTAAATTTCAAAATTGGTTATTCCTAAATTTTCGCTTGAGGATGAAGCAGGGCTTGTTTCTTTAATTCAATTTATTTTTAATAATTATATTGAGGGTTTCGGCTCTTGTTTTTGAAACATGAGAACTCTTATGTAGTGAAGGAATCATATTTTTTAAAAAAAGTAATTATAATCTAAGCTCTACTTCTGTATGGAGCACTGTTTTTTAAAAATAAAAACAAAAATACTAAAGAACTCCGGATTATTTACCTAACGTGTTCTTTCCTATTTTTCTACATACCTGCACACACACACACACACACACACACACATATAAAATCAAAGAAATTTAATGAATAGAAAAATTCAATATCTGTCTATATTTCTGAGATGAGGTATTATGTACACTATTTACATTATTCGGACTATTGTCCTCAAGAACACATGGCACAGTGGATAAATGTGTTAGTTAGATCCAGTGACAGGACCCAAAGAATTGTGAGTTCAATACCTGGTTAAGGCAATGGAGAACTCGGAGAGGTGAGTTAACAGGAGATAACTGATACATGATATCCATTAGACATGGCACATGGAACTAGAACAGTCTACTCCAGCAAGCAAAATAAAGGGTTCAGTTCGACATTCCAACCACCTGAAGAAGGCCGGAGCATACAATGGCTGTAATGTTGTAATAAATATGGCGACAAAGATAAGGACAATAGTCCGAATAATGTAAATAGAAAAATTCAAGCATTAATACATCATAAGCAAAACATTTATAGTTAAACAATAGGAGTGATATATTTACCTAGAGAATTGTTACAGAGATATCAAACTCACCTGATAAGTGTATCATTTCTAATTCGCCACTTGGTTAAAAATCCTAAATCTTCAAACATTGCTACAACAGCCTAAAATGAGGAAAAGTATAGAGATATATATTAATTCTTAAAATAACTGAAAAAAATAATTGACAACAATAATAATTTAAGGAAATGTTAAGAGTAATGTAATGAGTTATTAGACATTTGGAAAGAATAGTTGACTCAGAGGAACAGAGGGATGTTTAAAAACCTGTTAAAACATTTTTTTGTTATGCATAATTATGGTTCACAATATTCTAAGGAAGACATCTATTAATTTCAATGCTAATGCAAATTAACGTTCTTATAGATTAAAAACAAAAAGAAATAAATCTAAAACAAACTGTTACTATTCCTAAACTATAAAAATTCTCTATACTCCTGGTTAGACTGTGTTCATTTGGTACAATTTTAATCCATTTCATCTTCAGTATTTTTTTTAACAGCATCAAAATCAAGACATTTAACTTATAAAATCAGAAACCTCAACTGCCTAACTTGCTTTCTACCTTTGAAAGATAAATAAGTTGTTAACTTGTGTCAAAGTTTTCAAGAATTTCTAATAAAGCTTAAAATCTCTTGAATCAGCCAAAAATTGAAGTTTTTGTCAATCTGATAACCATTTTTAGATCATAGTGGATGATTATATTAGTAAGATTGAAAATTGATAAAACAATATGAGATATTAATGAGATGAGAAAGAAAAGCTCATCTAATTGGCTAAGTTATCAAAGAACAAGATCTCTTGAATTCATGGAGAAGGCTAAAGCCCTTAATCATATCTGGTATTTGCCAGTTTCAGTCTATACAAGATTTTGCTTAGATGCTCTTTTACAATGGGTATAGTTCACTAAACTTTGAGTAATTATTATTCTAAACATCTGATCTCTTTGTTATGAAAAAAATTATCTTTTGCGTTAAAGAGTAAATTGTTATGCAAGATACTGTTCATAGTTTTTCCCAAGTTTCCTTCTCAAATTGTTTAATTACCTACCAATTAAAAGTATATATGTGTAGATATTTTTATTAATGTTTGGTTAATACCATAGGGCATTTGAACAACTGACAGAAAGCTTTCCCTTAATATTTAGCTAGCAGCAAGTCAAATTTTCATAATTAATCAAATAGCTTTCTGAATATCTCTGTCAAGTAACTACAAAGAATTTTGAGTTTTTGCTATAATATTTGTGATTTACAAGCAGAAGAATGACTGTAAAGATTGTAATAATTGTAAGAGGTCACTTACGGTACTCAGTGTCCCAAAGAAGTCCCCATCTATGTACTGACCAGGCTAGATGCTGCATAACTTCAGTGATCAACGAGAACCAATGTTTTCAGCATGATGACAATAGGTTCTCAGTTAGTACTATGGAATATTTTCCCTTAATATTTAACAAGTAATAAGTCAAATTTTTTGATGATAGAAGGAAAGTAAACTTTAGCATTGAGTATTTCTGATCACTTTATTCTTGCACTGATAATATGGTCAACTACATAAATACCAACAAAACAATACAACTCACCTTACATGTTTCAGCCTCTGGCATCCAACGTGGAGCATAAATAAACTTATCAAAGTTAGGCACCATTTCATTGAAGTTAACAGTTTCAGTAGATAACTGTCTGGCTTCCTCAGGAGAAACCTATGACAAAAACAGTCATATTTAAGCAAAGAAAAAGCAAGAAGAATGTAGTGGTTTCCTAATAAAGAAATTTAAGGATATAATAAATTCTACACAGTTTTTTTTTTCTTTAAAATATTGAACTTTAGAGAAGATGCCTGAAATATGAATATTTTAAGACAACTAAGAAAAGTTTTTGAAGATACAATATTACATAATAGTTTTCCAAAGAAAAACAGTTTATAAGGGCAAAACATCATAGAAAACAAACAATTGTTACAAGATAACAAACACAAAACAAAGCTATATGTAATTTGAGAAATATTTAAATCATGGTAGAAGTGAAATCTAAACTGTAGAATTTATGAAAAATGAAAACACATTTAACCAAATCTGAAAGTTTCCAAATCTAAAACAAAATCAAATTCAAGAAGATTCAGCACAAATTGATAAGAGTTTGATTCAAGTGTTATGAAACCAACAAATAAAATATAAATGAGATAAAAAAGAACGAAACATAAGTAATGAAGGGTCTCTCAAATTATTTCATATTTCTTTGTTAATATGAGAGAAACTATTTTTCTTCTTTCTGACAGAGTGGTTCATCACATATACATTCTGTCAGATTTTAATAAGCAAATCAATATATTCATAATAAAACCAATGGGGATTAAATTTTCAGGATATACTTGTATTTATATGAGCATTGTATAAATTTTAGCTTATAATATTTACCCTTATTAAAAAAATAACTTGTTTTGTCAGATTTTATTATGCAAAAGACAATATCAATTTGAATGTTGCTGTCACATCTGGTCTGGTGCTCCTGTTATATATTTAGAGATTCTTGATAAAATCCAAAGAAGAATGTGTAATATTATTGGTCCTGATCTGGCATCTCAGCTTCAGGTACTTTTTCACTGCCATGATATAACTTACCTAAGCCTTTTCTATGACTACTTTCATGGTAATTGTTCAGATGAACTTTCCTTTATGGTACCTTGCCTTTATGAATTTAAGTGCAGTACCAGATTGGCAACAAAGTCTCATCATTCTAAAGTTGAAGTGACTAGATGTAACCATAAGTTCTATGCTAACAGTTTTTTTTCTATTAAACTTCTAACTTGTGGGACTTTCTTATAGTTTTTTGTCTCCCAGTCAAATTTTGACCTTCAAAAATTTAAATGCAATGTCAATTGTTATTTTCTATCTTAATTCTTTTTCTTTTATTGTCCTCTCTCTTTAATAGTATGTTTTCCTCATATCCTCTAACATTCAGTAACCACCTTGCATCTTACTGGCTTTATTGCCTTCCTGGGAGTGAAAGGATTAAAAAAACAAATAAATTCAAAAGACATAGATAATAGAAGCATATATTTGACAAATACAATATTCCAAGTAATAAATACTATTTGATATAATAACATGGGATTCTTGATATCATATAATCTTCATCAGTTTTTTATCTATTGATTTTATTAACTTTTCAACTGTTTTGACATTAAAATCACTTGCAGAGGTTCTTATTGCCGATTTGAATATTGTCTTCCATGCTCACATAGATCTTTTAATGAAGGGCCACAAGTTTTCTAATATCTCAAGAGGTTGGAGGCTATTTCATAAATTTGGAATCTTTGAAACCAATTTTTAGCAAGGTGAGCAATAGTAAGCTTTGAATGAATATACTCTACTTTAAAACTTCTTGGTTGTTACCTATAACATTCAAAACCATCTTGACCAAGAACAAACACTCACTTTCTGCAGTTATTTTGAAGGAATCTATAATCTTACTTTTTATAATACTATCTTAAAACATAACTCCACCTTCCCCTGTTGTGTTATATTTCCACGAAAAACCAATGGAGTTCAACATTCATCGCTAAAAATACTTCTGAGAAATCAGTTTCCATGTACTTCTTTGCTCAACTTACACATTTCTTTCTATGATGTTTACTTAAAGGCGGTAGTTTGGTTGCTTTTATGTTTTAAGCCAATACTCTTCATATTCTGCATCTTTTTTCTCATTGTTTACATTTAAAACACCAGATATTTTCTTGCTGATTATCCACTTTTCTTACTTATCCTTTAATTTTTCTCAAATCTCTTTAAAGCAATTTTTTTTTCTTGTTCTTATCTTGTCAATATTTTCAATTAATTTTGTGATTGGTCTATGTTTTCTATGTAACTGTTTTGCAATTCCCAATATTTTATTCTTATCACTCAATAACGTTATATATTGTTTCTATTTTGAGGTTAGGTTTTTTAATAACCAATGTTAGTTTTTACACATTTGAAATTAAAATATAAATAACAATATCTATACTATTATCATATATTTATTTACAACATGATGAACAGCTCTTAAGTTGCATAATAACATCTCACACCACTAAATAATTTATTGTAAATATTTCTAATAAAAACTTTCTAATAAAAACTGATACTATAAGCTGAAAATTAACATGGTATATTTATCATTAGTAAATCCTGAAAATTTTACCAGTGTCAGTTGTTTATAGCAATTTCATAGAGAAAACAATGACTTGCATAATAAAATTTGACAGTGTAGAAAAGGACGAGTTCTTTGGTTAAAAAGTTTTCCTAGAAATTGTCCATTTCTTAAAGAAAAGAATATATATATATATTTTCCCTCTTTTGTTTTGGCTTTTCAAATAGTTATTGATAAAATTTTCCTGTTCACTATAACTAAAACTACTATCATGAATTTTAAGTATATAATACAAATTATTAATACAGTACATGAGATTTTTATTATCATACTTATGCAACACAAAGATTGAAACAAATTAAGCTTATGTGCATACCTCATCTAAAAAAAGATTTTGTTCTTTTGTGATTTTCATAAAATAAGACTTTCAATGTATATTAACCAAAATTATTAAAATCTGTAATATCCAAATCATATAAGCAATTTAGTCTTACCGGTCAGTAGATTTGGTCCACAGTTTGACTATTTAGTTTGGATATAGCATAAAATACTGCATATATATATATATATATATATATATATATATATAAAATGAGGAAATAGCAAATCAAATCTTAGGGTGGGTGTTGTAACCTAGGAAAGGTTACTGAATAGAATAATGACATAAAAGTTGGTAATGAACAATAATACTTAGTACAAGAACAATGCATATAAGATTTGCCAGCAGTGCGTAGAAGTAGTCAACTGCGTGAAGTGAGTGAAGTCAATTCCACAATGAATTGCTACATGCAGACCAACATACAGTATTTACTACTGTATTTATGTGGATGGGGACATACCTATTATCGTCCGTATATATGCTGCAACAGTGAGCAAGGGCAACTTTGCCAGCCTGACAACTTTTCAGTTTATCTTTTTCTGTGTATAGTTTACACTGATTACAGGAGAATATGCAGCTGTGCTCTAGATGATGTTTCAAGTACAGCATCTAGACTGCTTCTTCTGACCCCACCAGTGCCCAAGGCTTGGGTAAGTAGATACTGAAAACCAACTGTTATCCAGGCAGCAAATACCCAGCTCTGCATGTTGATGAAATGGTCCAATGGAAAGACAAATGCCAATACACATGGTTCCAGTTAGAATATGGTTGAACCATATTTTTGAAATTTTATTCTCAATATAAAGTATATGTAAATGAAAAAAAATATCTTTTTGTAGTCATTTTGAAAAGAATAATACACATACTAACATAATGCTAGAATAGTGAAAATATTGTATAAAAAATTTACAATATCCCTTTGCATCATATAGCATCTAATATATATATATATATATATATATATATGTGTGTGTGTGTGTGTGTGTGTGTGTGTGTGCATAAATTCATTATAAAATAACATAGAAAGTTTTAAATATCTAAATCTTACATTTTATGGTCTCTAGAAGCATTTATTATTTTAGAATTAATGACTATTATCTGTTATATATGTGATAAACTCAAATTTTACAAAGCCTCAAAATGGTTGAGCCATATTTTTTAAATTTTAAAATAATAAACATTGTTATTGATGTTTTTGTTTTTATCTTAAAAGTATCTATTAATAAATCTCTTTGTATACATGAATAATCATTAGAAAGTGAAAAATGATTTCTTGATTGAGTTGCATAAATACAGAGTAAATGTCAGCAAATTTTGACATTTTTAATAAAATGTAAGAAGAATACTTCTCTTTTTTTCTACTCTTTAAATTACAACAGTTCATGAATTCTGCAAATGATATAATCAATAAATGATTCAGAAATGCAGTTTTATACTTTAAAACTTATCCAAGAGTAGAGTGTGTAAGCAACCACTTCCCAATTATATGCAAACTCAGATGAAGATTATGGAAATTAAAGAAATCCAAAACAATACTTAAACTAAAATACAACTCCAGGATGGCTCAATTTTCAAACAGATGTATGCTGATAGAGGAAAGAACAAATATAAGAGCTTAGAAGAGGCCTGGAATTCAAAATGGGATCTCTTAAAGGAAGTTCTGTTGAAAATAGTAAACAACATCATTCCAAAGAAAGAGAGACAAAAAAAAGAAATGGGTGACAGAGACAATTTTCAAGCTGATGAAAAACACACAGTAATCAATGCCAAGGAATGGCACAATTTATAGGATGTTAGAAAGAAATGCGAGGAGACAAATAATGAAATCAACAAGAGGTATGCAGTGAGAAACACTGCAAAACATAGAGAAGGTATGCATAAAATATAAAATAAATAAATAATAAAAGAAATAACAAGACTAAAGATATGTTCCTTGACAGATTGCATAAAATCTAAAAATGGAACGCTCATAATAGAAAAAGAAGAGATATTTCAAAAATGATTTGAATACATCGAAGAATTTTTCCATGAGAACAGAGAAGAAAAACCTGCAATACATAAAAAGATGGAGTTGTAATATTAAAATGTGGGATAAGATCAACACTGGCCATGATGAATAGAAACAAAACTGAAGGACCAGATGGGATTATAATAGAGATGTTATCACATGAAATGGTTTTGGGACAATGGCAA